GCGTTTTTGTTCCTCCGATGGACGATCCGAGATGATCCTAGATGGTCCAGGTTCTCGTCCGAGCGATGCAGAGTTTCCCTCGTCGCAACGTACCCCCCCCCCTCTGCACATGCCCACCTGCTGGACACTTCGGTCCTGCATCGCCACGCGGTCTCTCCAGAAATCTCCCGTGAGTGCTATAGTTTTAGTTTCGATCCGTGGGGGAGGGGGACACAGGGGGGGGGGGAGGAACTTTTTGGTTGGCGGCAACTTGTCTCCAAGAAGAAGTCAAAAAGGCACTGGGGGCGCAATGGCAGACTAGCTGGGGCACAGGAGGCGAGCGCTGGGGCGAGAGCGCGCGGGCGGGGAGGCCCAGGAGGGGGAGAGTCACACGCAGGGGGGGCGGGGGGGCGGGAGAGCAGCAGGCTCGCAGAAGGCAGAGGCAGTTGCCTGAAGGGGGAACCGACGGGAGGTGGAGTTGGATGGGAAGGGCAGTAGGCTCGGCTGGATTCGGGCACCCTGTCGTACAGCGGGGAACTGCATAGCTACTTCCTTGTGCGGACGAAATATTGAAATCCGGCCTCTGACCCTCAGCACCGCACTCAATGTCAAATTCCGCTTCAGCTGGGAACGTGCTGAGAGCATGTCGCTGTTGGTGTTCGTAGGAGCCCCGTGCACAAATCGAAAGTACCCCTGAATCGAGACTGGCTAGACACAACTGCTGGCCCACGCTCACGTGGAGGAATCAGGGAGACTGACGAACACGAGGTGAACTTGGCGAACTGACCTCACAAGGGCCCCGCCCAGCACGAGAAGCGCGGCTACGGCAGGTTCGCGTCGTGACGACAGCGTCGCTTGCTTTTGACACTGCTTGGACTGTCCAGCCTTGAGCGATCGGCGGCTCCTCGATCACCAGATCTTTCCCTCTTGGCCGATTCTGGGCCACCGGCTGCCTTTAACCTTGCGGCCCGCGGTGGGGCCACCACCGCGGTGATGCTCAAGGACTGGGGCCCGACAAAATGCGGATCCCCTACTACAGGTGAGACGAAGCATCGCACGTTTTGTTATGACCACCCGCGTTTGTCTTATGGCATGAGCATGCTGTACTTTCGCGCGCCACTGCGGGTGACCTGCACGACGACGCCCTCCCTGGCTCTGCGCAGGAGGGCGCGGGGCGACGGGGGGGGGCCCTGCGCTTGCCCCCATCGGGGCCTGGCGCGCCCACCGCCCCGCCCTCCCCTCCTCCTCCTCCTCCTCCTCCTCCTCCTCCTGCTCCTCCTCCTCCTCCTCCCCCATTCCTTTTCCTTTTCCTTATGAATAACTTCTCCCTGTCGCACCCCGAGGCCAGATTTTAGGGCGGGCCGGGCCTTTCGCCTGGGACTTCCTCACCATTTACAACTCTGAAGCTTAAACATTGGCGACAGTTTCGCAGATGGAGGGCGAGTCGTTTTCAAAAGATTGCTCTCGCCTCAGCGCAATGCACATTCGTTTTTTCAAATCAGCAAGGGTTTCACGGATTCCCGGCGGGAGGTTTTCAAACTGTGGCTCTCGCCTTAGTGCGGCGCACATTCGCTTGTAAAAATTTGAAAAGGCATGTTCTACCGCTGCTGGCGGAAAACCGGGGGTGGTCACTGGGGGTTCCCAACCCGTGCCCCCCCCCCTCGAAAACCGGGGGGGGTATCACTGGTTCGGACTCCCCACCTCCAACCCATCATGAAAAGGGGGGGGTGTCACTACCGGTTCGAACCCCTCCCCCCCCCTCGCCGCCGACAAACGACTCCCGATCCTCGGGACAGTTGGACAGTGTTGGGGATACTGCGACAGTGGTGGGGACAATGGTGGTGGGGACAGTGGTGTGGGGAAAGTGAGACAGTGGTGCGGACAGTGGGACAGTGGTGGGGACGGTGGTGGTGGGGACAGTGGCGAGGAGACAACGGGACAGTGGTGGGGACATTGGGGACAGTGGGACAGTAGTGGGGACGGTAGTGGTGGGGACAGTGGTGAAGGCGGTGGTGAGGACAGTGGTGGGACAGTCGCACAGTGGGGAGAGTGGTAGGGACAGAGGGGACAGTGGGACGGTGGTGGGGACAGTGGGGACAGTGGGACAGAAGTGGGACAGCGGCGGGGACGGTGGGGACAGTGGGACATTGGTGGGAACAGTGGGGTCAGAGGAGCAGTAGTGGGGACAGTAGAGACACTGGGGAGAGTGGGACCGTGGTGGGACAATAGTGGGGAGTTGGAGCAGTGAGACACTGGTGGGGACACTGGTGGGGACAGCGGGGACAATGGTGGGAACAGTGGGGACAGTGGTGGGGACTGTGGGACAGTGGTGGGGACGGTGGTGGTGGGACAGTGGGCCAGTGGTGGGGACAGTGGGGACAGTGGTGGTGGGGACAGTGGTGAGGGCGGTGGCGAGGACGGCGGTGGAACAATGCGACAGAAGTACAGTGGGGACAATAGTGGGGACGGTGGGGACAGTGGTGGGGACCGTGGGGAGAGTGGGACCGTGGTGGGAACAGTGGTGGGGACAGCGGGGACAGTGCGACAATGGTGGGGGCACTGGTGGGGACAGTGGGGACGATGGTGGGAACAGTGGGGACAATGGTGCTGGGGACAGCATTGGGGGATGTGGTGGTGGGGACCCGGGAGTCGTTTGCCGGCGGTGAAATGGGGAGAGGGTTCGAACCGGTTGACCCCCCCCGTTTTCTGGAGGGGGGGGGCTCGAACCGGTAGTGACACCCCCGGTTTTCTGGAGGAAGGGAGGGATTCGAACTGGTAGTGACCCCCCCCCGGTTTTCTGGGTTTTCTGGAGAGGGGGGGGGTGGGGGGGGGTTGCGAGGGGGGAATGGTGGAGGGGGTCCAGCAAGGGGGGGTGAGATTTTCGAAAGGGGGGGGGGACCCCTGGGTTCCGCTCTCTCAGCAAAGCGGCGGTGGATCACGCTCTCTCAGAAATTTGCAAGAACTTCACAGGTTGAGGGCGGTTTCTTTTCAAATGTGGCTCTCGCCTTAGCGCGGCGCACAGTCGTTTTAAACAATTGCAAGAGACTCACGGATTGCAATCACCAACGTGTCAGAAACGGTTTTTTGAAAGGATTCAGGATTATACGGGTGCAACAACTATTTTGATTCGCTGTGTTGAAATCCCAGGAATGGTGCTCTGGCACGGTTCAAGATTGTCAAGATGCAACAGTCAGGTTGATCCTGTAATCCTGGGAACAATGTTTTTGGCATGCTTCAGGGTCTTCTAACGGATGTCTTCCAGTGAGGCAATTCCTTCAATGGCAATGAACCGTGGTAAGGGGCCCGTGAAGAGGGAACTTGGTGGGAGGGTGTATTCCAACATCATTGATGACTCTTGGGTTGACACTGGTCCTCCTCCTCCTCCTTCTTCGCCCCTTCCTGGTTCTCCTCCTCCACCTCCTCCTCCTCCTCATGGTCCTCCTCCTCCTCCTCCTCCTCCCCCTCCCTATCCTCGTCCCGCTCAGCCTCCTCCTCATCCTCCTCCTCCTCCTCCCTTTCCTCCTCCTCCTCCTCCTCCTCCTCCTCCTCACAAACGGCAGCTGCCCTGGAGTCCGAACGCGACGCTTCCTGAATTGCGTCCAACTGTGGCGACGAGGGGGGCCTTCCGAAGGCCAACTACCGTTGTTTCAACTCGCCCTCCTCTGCCTTCGGGGGCGGGGTGTTCCTCGGACGCCCCCGTCGGCTCCGGAGGAAGCTTCTCCGAGGGCGGGAAGGCTTCTGTGAACCCCCCTGCTTGGACGACCGCGGTGGTTGCTAAGTAAGGGGGTACGGGCTTACAAGTAAAATGACAGTGGTTTTGTATGTCTTACACAAATTCACCACTAAGTTGCAACCCCAAACGACGGAAAAGGTTTGGACATCAGGTAATTGGGCTCCGTCCACTTCGCCCAAAACGTTGCCCCGCATATACCGTTTAGTTTAATCGTGGGCTAGGTTATGCCAGATATACATCACCGTGACATCCACTTGGAGCCCCCTCTGGCCCCTTAGCAACCCCCGCGGTCATCCAAATGCAGACCCTGAGATCCTTGCGTCGCAGTCGTTTCAGAACGGGCGCTTCTTCCTGGCTTCGAGCCTCTGGGCCCTCAGTGATCGATCCAGCTCGAAACCTGCCGCAAAAAGGTTGGGTCCAGGGCCTACACGATCTTGCAAGACGCTTGGGGATATCTTCTCGCGTTCAAGAACGACTTGCTGCTTAGTTATAGTACGATTCTTCCGTTTTGGGATAATTACTCACTCGCGCCGTCTTGACTCCGTTTTATACTGCCGTTTGTTGGTACGTGTGTTTGTTATTTGGGCTGCCGTTCTATGTTTTCACTTTGGTTGGCCGGAAACCCAACAATGGGGAACAGAAGAAACCAACGACCTCAAATTTTCCAACATCAACTAAGGCCCAGGGCGCCTGTCGGGTGTTCCTGCGATGCCAGGACGAGGATAGAACCGGGGGGGCATACATCGAAAATCTCCGAGGTCCGGCGGTTGTGAAGGATGTCTCAGGCACCGCGGCCTTCCCGGAGCGGTCAGGAACGCTCTAAGACCGGTATTATTCTTCTTTTGCCAGCGTGCCAAGCCTCAGGAGGTGCACGTGATGAAACGTCGATGCTATGCTACTCTGGAAACTGTCATGCCAACACGTAAAGGGGGAACGAAAGAAATGCTGAAGGATACATACTACATGCACACGGACGGACAGGAGCGCTTGGAAGCCTTCGTCGACAGCCACTGCTTCGGCCTCGAAGGCTCTGCGACAACTGCGCATGTGGGTGCCTCTGCTGCCGACGTCCTAGCCCCGTCCGTCGTCGTACGATGCAGCAGTTGTTCCAGTGACATCGGACCTCTCCGCCTCCTCCGTCTCCTCCGTCTCCTCCTCCTCCTCCTCCTCCTCCTCCTCCTCCTCCTCCTCCTCCTCCTCCTCCTCCGTCTCCTCCTCCTCTCCTCCTCCTCCTCCTCGCACCTGCCGCAGAGGGCGCAACCCTCCCTCCTCGCACGAGCCCGCGGACCTCCAGCTTGTAGCGCACGTGCGTGGAGCCGGACTCCTCTCCGCGGGGCGCGGCCGGCGGAGGAGGGGGACCAGGGAGGGAGGGAGGGACAGCGGAAAGGGGAGGAGGGAGGTGGAGAGGGGAGGAGGGAGGGAGGGAGGGAGGGAGGGAGGGAGGGAGGGACAGAGGAAGGGGGGAGGGAGGGAGGGAGGGAGGGAGGGACAGAGGAAGGGGAGGAGGGAGGTGGAGAGGGGAGGCAGAAGCCAAACCATCTCCCCCAGAATAACCACCCCGACACGCGAAGCCGCTCAGTGAACGCGACCAGAGAAAGAATCTAACAGGGCAGGTCTGTTCAGGAAACGCCCAGGGCCGTTGAGTAAACGCGAATTGTCCGGTCCGTGTGGCTTTTCCTCCCTTGGGAGGAGGTGGTGGGGACCCACCCTGGTGCCCCTGGACCAGGGAGGCGGGAGGAGGAGGATGAGGCGGAAGGGGGGAGGAGGAAGGAAGGAGCAGGAGTAGGAAGGGAGGAGCCTGGACAACAGGCAGAGCCTAAACTACCAACCCCAGATCACAGGTGGAGCAAATGGTTGCAACGAGCTGTGCAAAACGTCGGGTAGAGCCATCGCGACCGTCGAGTACGCTGTACCGACGGGCTGCCATCACCACTGTCACCCTACTTGAAACGCCATGCCGACCACATACCCCAAGGGCCCGTCAAGAGGGCCCGCGCAGGGAACATAGCCTGAAGAACAATAAGTCGAAGTAAATACTTACGCCCCCCGCCATTACTTCTTGCTGGAGCCTACTGCACGGACTGTCTGTACGGACTGCTGCACAGCACCCTGCTGTGACGCCGTCGAACGCCACAGACAAGACCACGCCGCGCACCACTCGACTGGCAATATAACACTGCTAGAGCAACACCTCCGACGGCGCCAGATCCTTCCAGTGGCCCCGCCGCTCCCACCCCCCCTTTCCTCCATCCTTGTTACGCTACGGTATGATATGCCACCTCGCTGTCGCAGGCCCAGGGACACATGGATCTGACAGGGGACTGGCGCCGGGACGAACGAGGCAGCTCTCTTGGACTTCAGGCCCGCGAGCAGCACGAACTCGCAGCACCAGAGTCTGAACAGGCTGCGGACACAGAACCAAAGAGGGAGAGCACACCACTATGGGGGGCGCGCAAACATGTATCAGCGATGCTTGGATTCGGCGCGCGGTCGCCAAATCCATGGATCGGGCAAGGGGCCCTCCACAGAATGCGCCCAGTGCCGCCTCGTTCGGCGGCGAGAAAGCGCGATTTCCCATGGGAGCGGGACCCGCCGCGAATCCACGCCCCCATAATCCATCTTTGCGATCGCCCGTCGACTACGAAGAGGGCCCACGAGGGCCCTTGGGCGGCATCGGATGCTCCCCCTCTCCGGAGACGCACCTCGGAGGCGTCCCGGCGCACCGCCGCCGCGCTGACCGTGCCTGCCGCAGGCGCGCAGGAGCGCGCGAGGGCGCGGGAGTGGCGCTGGGATCGTCGCGCGGCCCTGCGCCTGCCGGAAGGACGAGGACGAGGAAGAAGAGGAGGGGAGGGAGGATGGGGGGGGGCGGGGCTCCCCCACCTCTTCTTCCTGTTCCCCCCCTCCTCCTCCTCGTGCTCCGCCTCCTTCTCCTCCTCTTCTTCCTCCTCCTCCTCCTCCTCTTTCTCCTCCTCCTCCTTTCCCTTTTCCTGCCCCGAGGGGGCCCCTCCCGTAGGGGAGGGGTCGGGACCCCAGGGTCCTCCTGGCGCAGGCGGGGAGCGCCGGGCCCGAGGGGCGAAAAGCCCCCGCTCCCCTGGGACGGCCCCCATAAGCGGGGTCCCCTTGCCAGGGGGGGCTGCCAGGTCCCGGGGCCTCCCCCAGGGCGGCGCAGGGTTCCCCCCCTGCGCTCGCCGCCTTGGGGCGGGACTGGCGGTCCGTCCCCCCGTCGTGTCGTGTCGTTTGTCGTCGTCGTCGTCGTCGTCTCCGTCGTCGCCGTCGTCGTCTCCGTCGTCGCCGTCGCCGTCGTCGTCCTCGTCGTCGTCGTCGTCGTCGTCGTCGTCGTCGTCGTCGTCGTCGTCGTCGTCGTCGTCGTCGTCGTGTGGCGGGCCGGGCCCCTGGGGTGGGTGGCGTGGGTTTGGCTTGGACTGGCCCCCCCCCGGTTCTGTCGGCTGCCGGGTGTTTCCGGCTGGGCCGTTTCCGGCCGACAGAACGTGGGGGGGGGAGCTGGCCAGCTATTCCCATGCTGCCCGCTTGCGGGGGGCCCGCTGGCGCCGTGCGCCACCCGCGCCGTGAGCGCCCCGCGGCCGGCCGCGCGCCCGCGCGCGGGCGCCCGCCGGCCGCGGCGGCGCGCGGCTTTAGTGCTGTGCACTCCCCCTTTCGAGGGCATTCCATTCCATTCCATCCCTTTCCCTTTTCCTCCTCTCCTCCTCATCGTCCTCCTCATCGTCCTCCTCCTCTTCCTCCTCCGCTGAGCTCCTGACAAGCTTGCGAAGTGGGGCGGCGGCAGGGAATGCCGCTCCACGGAGGCCCGGCGCGACCCGCGCTCGCGACCCACTGGCGCCCGTCGGGCCGTGGCGGAGTACTGGCCCTGCTGGCCCTGCCGGCCCTGCCAGTGGCCTCCCCGCCCCATTGGCCCTGCGGGCCCCACCCGCCATGCCGGCCCCTCAGGGGCCGCGCCACGCCCTTCGCTTCGCTTCGCTCGCAGCTCGATGTCCGGTTGGACGAAGCCGTTCGCGCGGCCGCGGCCGCGCGCGCGCGCCCGAGGCGCGTTGGGGGGCCACCCCTCTACACAGACCCCCGCCAGGAAGGCCAGGGTAAGAAGCCGCCAGGGCCTCTCAAGGGGAGGGACCGAAAAAAAAAAAAAAAAAAAAAAAAATCGCGCCACGCCCTCCACCTCCTCCTACTTAATCGTAGGCGCAGGAGGAGGGCTCGAGGCTCAGGAGGCCCGCCCTCGGGCCAGGAAGGGGAGCGCGCTGCAGCGCACGGCGTCAAAGGGCAGAGTCGAGCTCCAAGCTGCGCCAACTCGACCTGCACGCGGGCAGAATACGATCGGCTGTCGCGTCCAGGAGTCAGGAGTCCATGGACGAAGTCCGTTACCAAACTCTTTTGGGCCCTTTTGGGGGACCTTCTGGCAAGCCCAGCCTCATTGACCGTTTTGGGAGAGAGATCCCGCAGACTTCGATGAATCTAAACAAGATGGGTGGGCGTGGCATTTTTGGAGCATTCACTACCCAGCCTTGACAACTGCTGGGCACCGTGACCCATGCCCCGACGTCATGCTTTTTCACAACGTAGACCCCCTGGTCTCGACGCATTCCCCAGGACCAGCTTTTCATCCTGTGTCGTTGTTTGACTGTCCCGAGGCCTGGCCAATGCCCCCAGGGGCCGAAAAGAGCGACAAACCTCCCGTCGTGTTTTTTTTTCCCGACGCGAGGGAGCTCGGGGAAGAGGAGGAGGAGGAGGAGAAGGACGAGGAGGAGGAAGGGGAGGACGAGGAGGAGGAGGAGGAGAATGAGGAGGAGGAGGATGAGGAGGAGGAGGAGGAGGAGGAGAAGAAGAGGGAGGAGGAGGAGGAGGAGGAGGAGGAGGAGGAGGAGGAGGAGGAGGAGGAGGAGGAAGATTCGCATCGATGCCGTCCTCGCGGCGCAGCCCGCCCGTGAAAGTCGAAACCAACACAGCAACCCTGGGCGCAAGGAGGACCTCCAGTTCTGAGGCGCATCCCACGCCAAATCTGGCGGCCGCGGAATCTGCCCACATCTCCCCAAGAGGGGCAGACCTACAGCTGGCTGGGGTCCCGCAGGGCGACCCTGCGACCCGGATCCGCGCCACCAAGCAGCCACCTCGCCGCCCCTTCCTCTGGGTCAAGGGGGCTAACAACCTCGGGCAAACCCGGGGGGGGGGGGCCTCCAACCCCAGGTTTCCTCGGCCTCGGGTCGTCCTCCACGGGCCGCTGAGAGGGTGCACCAAGCTTGGGCTCTCGGCGCGACCTCGGATGACGGGGCAGGTCCCACCGTCCCAGGGTCTCCCAGCTTCTTCGCTCTGGCCACGTCTTCAGCACAGACTCTGGAATGCATCACCGCTAGGACCGACTTAGGTGGGCCCTCTCGCCTAGGATAGGATTTCTGCATGATGCGCGACAAGTTCTCCGCCCCATTACGGGATTTCCAGCGAGACAGCGCTCTTCCAAAAGGGGGGAAATCTTCTGTCGCGTACTTGCCACACTCCGTGGCTGGGAGATGGGGAAGAGGAGGAGGAGGAGGAGGAGGAGGAAGAGGAGGAGGAGGAGGAGATGGAGGAGGAGGAGGAGGAGGAGGAGGCGGAGGAGCGCGAGAGCCCCTGAGCAGGAGCGGCCCGCAGGAGGGCGACGAGGCGCCAGGCGCAGCTCCTCCCCAGACAGCGAGTCCAGGTCCTGCCCCCCCGAGTCCACGGCCGACACGAGCCAGGCCTCCGCGGGAGGACGAGGAGGAAGAGGAGGAGGAGGAGGAGGAGGAGGAGGAGGAGGAGAAGGCGGAGGCGGAGGAGGAGGAGGAGAAGGAGGAAGGGGCGGAGGCGGAGGCGGAGGCAGAGGCGGAGGAGGAGGGAAGGAAGTCAGGAAGGAAGGACGGAGCGCAGCTTCGGCGGGACCGCGCTGGTCGCCGCCGCCGCCTTCGCCGCCCTCGCCGTCGTCGCCGTGGTCGCCGCAATCGTCGTTACCGCCGTCGTCGTCATTGTTGTTGCTACCCTCATCGTCGTCGTCGTCATCGTCGGCATCGCCAGTCGAGATGTTCGGCTGTTGTTTGATCCCCAGTGGTTCTGTGGAGCCCTTTCGCGGCCACGGCTGGGTGCCCCTCGGAATTCTAGCCAGAACGCACCTCAGGGGAGATTCGGGTCGATCGTCGCCGTCGCCGACGCTGCTCGGCGGCAAGCGAGGGGGGGGGAGTGAGAAGGAGAAGGCCTTCTCAGAAGGCGGCCAGACTTCTCAGAAGCCCTCGCGCCTCCTGAGAAGCTTTCTGTGTCTTCGGGGAAGGCTCCAAACACTTCTCAACAGAAGGCCTGAGGATTTCCGAACCTTCCGTGCGAGCCTTGTCCTTCTCACTTCCCCCAGGGGTCGCGCCGAGCTGCTGTCGCCGTCGCACGCTCATATCATATCTAAAGAGCCGTCTTAGCTGATCTATCGAAACGGTTCCGGGCGCTCTCGCCTCGACGCTGGCCACATTGGCTCTGAAAGCGGCGCTCCCGCTCGAGCGCCGACCTGCTCACCAATCCCAAGTGTTGAAGCCTGGACTGCGGCGACAAGGGCTCCCATCTCGAGACCCCGCGCGATTTACTCCAAGACGCCTTGGCCAGAGAGGCCCTCCAACCCCGGAGCGGCGCTCTCGCGGGGGGCGCCTTCGCCACTCGTCCGAGCTCTCTGTTGCCAGGGGTCTCTAGCCTTTGGTCGGGCCTGTCCCCCTACAGGCCGATCTTGAAGAAAACTGAAAAATAGTCAACAATATCCAAAAACGTCAATAAGTAATCGAAAACTTGTCCTCAGATTACGTTTGGACCATTTCTGAATATTCCCCCTGTAGGGGGACATGCCCGACTTAACCCTAGTCACAGCGGGGACGGGGGAGCCCCGGCTCGACGCTTCGACCCGCGGTTGTTGCGAAAACCGCGGGACATCTCGAGGGGAGGGAGCCACTCGAGAGAGAAGAGTAGAAAATCCGCGGCCTCGAGGATAAGGCAAAGGCGGGGCGACCCGCGCATCAGTCTGAGCAGTAACAGCTCCAAGCGGCGCTGGCTTGGCTAGCCGCCTGCGGGGAACCACCGACAGCTGCGCAGAGAGGGCCCACATTGGTTTGGAGCGCAAGCTCTTCCTCTTCCTAGCGCAGAGAAACAAACGGAATCTAGAGGCCCTGGCTGGGTTCTTCTCTGGGCCCTTCGAGAGGAGGCTCCGGAGGCACTGGGCCACAGAGGATGAGAACTCTGTCCTTGCCGTGCAGAGAGTGATACTGCTTCAGAACGCGTTTCCAAACCCATTTCCGATGGGCGGTCTTCGACTCGGGGCATCGCCTCGAATACAGATTTGACCTGGCAAACAATAGTGTTGAAACGTACGCCGTGCACTCACAGCACATAAAAAGCGAAAACCGCTCGGAGCAAGGCAGCACTATGAAACAGTGGTGGTTGGCTGCGGCCCTCTCAATGTGCAGGACCCTGACTTCCCCCAAACGCAGCCTAGCAGAAGGCCTCGGCGCTCCCATGAAGTCCTTGGAAAGAGCGGCCATTTGCGTGGAGCTACAGCAGACTTCACACATCAACAAACCTCCGATCCAGGAACAGTAACCGTGAGATCTCGGGACTCTTGCTGCCTTGGACGAGGGAACGTGCTCGGCATCTCCGTCCACACTCAAGGATGGAACTTGGGCCAAGACGACTCATGGCCAGGATACAAACTGGACCCGTCTGTCCGTAATGATGAGGTCGGGGTCGCTAGGGTGAGCGAGCGCAGCCTGCTCAGCTCCCAGATCGGCCAAGCGTACCCCTGTTCGTTTGGACAAGCCTCAGCTGAAAAGTCTGGCTCCTGGGGCGACTGGTGAACCTTGATCTTTACTGTGCACTTCACATGAACAACCGCAGGGTCGAACCGAACCTGAAGGATGTGCACCTTCCTGGAAGAGCCGTGGTCTCCTCGAACTGCTTGAGGGCATGGGGCAAAACGACAACATCGGACACGCAACAACACTTGCAACGCACACAGCGCTGCAATGCAAAACAAATGCAATGCAATCACATTTGCAATTCCGCGAACAAGCTGCAGCGCCAAAAGCACTGCTCTACCGCACGAATGCACTGCATGACGCACTGCAGCGCAACACACATTCCATGCAAGACAAACCTTCCATGGACAACAACATGCAACGTACCACAATCTGCATCGTGACAATACACACAATCTGTCATATACGCCATTGCCCACAAAACATCGCCACGACAACGACAACGGACCAGATCTATCTGAAATGCAGACAAACTGCAATGCAAACGAACCATTGTAATGCAAACGGGCAACTACAATCAACACGCAAGGACACGCAAAACAAAACAAGACGCAACCAAACTGGCAATGCATTGACACATACAAAGCCAGCAACATGGCAGTGCAAACCACACAGGTGTTGGTCGTTGTGGATTCCGCTGCGCGCTTCGCGCCCTCCCTGGACCTTTCCCACTCGCCCTTGGCTCGCATGCGGAGTCCTTACCTCGAGCTCTAGCAGCGTGGCTACGGCGTAAAGACAGCTGGGATGCATAACATCTGCAACACAACAAAACATGTGCTTTGGTGGGCGTGGTCGTCGCTGCGCTTCGCACCCTCCCTGGACCTCCCCACACCATGTTCGGCTCGCTCGCGGCATCCCAGGTCCTAGGGTCAGGCCTTTGGCAGCGAAGCAGCGGCACACCGAAGCTCAAGCTCAAGCCTCAAGCTCCGACCTTTCTCTACTGAACCTCGGCGTCCGCCGCTATTGCAAAGGACTCCATGCATTCTCACGCTCCGACCTCCGTGCAAGCAATTTGAGTTGGCGACGGCACAGCTGCGACGAGAACGGATACCCATCGAGACTTCATCGCAATTTACTCGCGCTCGCCCTGGTCGTACTTGCAATCGGGCATACCGCTCTCGCCCGAAAGCTACCAGGAATGCATTCAAAGTTGGTGACTCATCAGCTACGACAACAACGGCTGCCGCTCGATAACTCCTACAACTTCCTCTCAGACGCCCTGGAGGCCCCCAAACTGCGGAGTGGCGCTCTCTCCCAATACTTCATCGGAAGTCCTTCAAGCTTGTGAGTTACCTGCGGACGCGTTATCTCGCATGAGGGCCACTGGGGGCCCTGTGCGCACGCAAGCGCTGATGTATGAAAAGAGGCCCCCACAGACGGGGGTTGGTCGACTGACTTAAGCGGGCAGGTGCAAAGGAGAGGGACAAACCAATGAATGGCAAAACAGCTTGTCTCGCAAGATGGTCGCCGTCATTGTCGTCGTCGCCGTGCTGCCGTCGTCGTCGTCGTCGTCCTTTTCGCCGCCGCTGCACTCGTCATCGTTGCCGCCACCACCGTCGCCCGCCGCCGCCGTCGTCCAAGCCGTCGACGGTCATCGCCGCCGCCGCCGTCGCCACCGCCGTCGTCGTTGCTGCCGTCACCGCCTCGTCGTTTCCACACTTCGCGAGTTCTCGGAGGCGATGCATAAATAATCGCGTCTTCGGGGCCTCCATAGGGGCCGCCAAAGACGGGTCCGCGCAAAATCTCCGCCCTGGGACCAGTGCGCGGGGCGATTTCGAGGCGTCGTCGCCGTCGCCGTCGTCCTCGTCGTCCCCTTCGGTGCCTTCGCCCTCGTCGTCTTTTCCTTCGTCGTCGCCCCCGCGCTTGTAGTCATCCGCGCGTGGGCCCTGGGAACGACAAGGCAATTTCTTTTACCCATTCCGTTTTGTAATTGTTTCTTCTGGTTCCGGCGCTATTCGTGGACTCGGTTCCGTCGCCGTGTTTTCCCTATTCGGGGAGCAGCTCTGTTACTGTTTCCACGTTCCAGAAACACTTGTTTGAAAAGCATCGGCGGCGAGCGAAGGGGGGAAAAGAGAAGGAGAAGGCCTTCTCAGAAGGCTCGGAAGTCCCCCAGCCGCCCAGCCGTCTGAGAACTTGTCCTGAGCCTTCTTCGAAGACAAGAAAACAACTTCTCAGAAGGCGCGAGGGCTTCTGAGAAGTCCTGGCGCCGTTTCAGAAGGTCTTCTCCTTCTCACTTCTCCCCCTCGCGCGCCGCCGAATCTGGTTTTTGGGTCATAACTCGGTTCTCCGGCGGCAGTTCGAGCGATCCGGGCACCCCCGAAAGGCCCTCGGCGAGGCGCAGCTGCTGGCAAGCATCCCGAAGCCGCAAAACCGCCGAGAACCAACGAAAGCGCCCGGCAACCTCGAACCCTCGAAGCTCGAACTTCCCCCCCTCGCTCGCCGCCGAAAGCAACTGCCCTGCAGTTCCCAGGCCCACGTCGTGCGCGCGGACGCGTCGCCGCGCGCCGCGCGCCGCCGTCGTCGCTGCCGGGGCCGCGAGCCTCTGGGGTATCCAGCTGCATGCTCAGCAGCAACCCCTTCCTGCGGCCGCGGGGGGCACGGCGCGCGCGGCGGGGGGAGGAGGAGGAGGGGGAGGAAGAGGAGGAGGAGGAGGAGGGGGAGGAGGAGGAGGAGGAGGTGGAGGAGGAGGAGGAGGAGGAGGAGGAGGAGGAGGAGGCGGGGGAGGATGAGGAGGAGGAGGAGAAGGGGGAGGAGGGAGGAGGAGGAGGGAGAAGGAGGAGGAGAAAGAGGAGGAGAAGGAGGAGGAGGAAAGGTGGGGGCAGGATACGACTTTCGCCAGTGTCGTATCTTCGTAGGCTTCGCACTCGCAGGCAGCATGGGGAGGCTAATGATAGAGAGATCAGCGATTCCCACCAGCCCTCTGGGGAGTCCTTTTCCAGCCTCCTTTCTATCACTGCTCGGGAAGTTTACCTCCCCCCCCTCCTTGGGTCTGGACGGGCTCCCTCGCGAGGGGTTAGAGCATCCAAGCGGGCCTAAGATAGCTTCAAGAGGGCTTTAGCTAGCCCAAGATGGCTTACAAGATCGCCACGGATACCTCAAGACGGCTCAAGACAGCCTCCAACACGCATTCAAGAGGCCTCAAGACGGCCCCAAAACGGTTTCAAGTGCCCTCAGAGTCCTCAAAGGACCCCCCCAAGAGGCCAAGATGGGTTCAAAACCTACGGAACATCAGTGTGTTTTGCCTCTTCGCTTTCTCGCTTCCGATGGGCTCTTGAGGCGTCAAGATGGCCCAAGGTGGCCCCAAATACAGTGCGGGCGCAGCCGCAAGAAACCCTCGCAAGAAGCCCAACCCTGAAAACCCGCGCGCGAGGTGCACCTGAGGGGAAACCCAGAGCACCCTGAACGCACCAGCTTCTTCAACGGCTGCGGGAAGTCACTGCGCAACTCGCGGAGCGAAGAAACCCAGGATGCCCTGTCGAAAATCATGTGGTTCTTCATGCGCACCACTACTGCAGCCCCAAGAAAGGCCCAAGAGGGCCCCAAGACGGCGCCCAGTGCGCCCACGAGCGACCCAAGAGCGGTCCGAGAGGTCCCCTGAGACGCCTCCAGGGGCCTGCAGACAGGCCACGAGAGGGCCAGACACACCCCAGAGCCTTGGCCTTCGGGGACCGAGGGGGAGCGGAGGGGACGACTCTCCGCACAGTCGAGGCCTCCTCCGCCTCCTCCGCCTCCTCCTCCTCCTCCTCCTCCTCCTCCTCCTCCTCCTCCCTCGTCTCTACGTCGCTCGGGGGGGAGAGCAGACGCCTTGCGAACAAGGGGGCCGTCTCCGCCGCCTCTGGCAGTCCCCCTGCGCCTCGCGCTGCCCCGTCTGGCCACGGGCGCCGCCGCGTCTGACCCCCTGGCCCGCTCGACCGACCCGCGCTCGCGCCAGGCCTGCGGCCACCAAAGCGTGTTGTGTCATCGAGGCTTTCCACACATGATCGCGTCGTACAAATTTCAGGACGATTTGTTTTTGTCATTTTCAGCCTCTGGAAGCCCTCGCCGGGCCCCGGGACCGTCCAAAAACAACTCAGGATGAGAAACTAACCCCGGTGAACGGGTCGGGACTTCTGGGGGCGCCGTCCCGAAAACGTCAGGACGTCGCATGTCTGGGCTCGTGTGGCGGACCACTCTGCGGGAGCGCCCCGACGAGCGGAAGGGGGGCCCGACCACTTTCGGAAGTACGCCGCGCGGCGTGCGTACGCGCGCGACCACCCTGCCTCGATCTTCGTGCCCTCCTCTTCGCGCACTGCGTCCTCCACCCTTGTGCAACATCGGCTTCTTCCAGGATCGTCCCGGAACCGAGCTGGGCCGCCAGAACCGAACAAGGCCCGACCGAACCAGCGTGAACCAGTCGCTTGGTAAGCCCGCACCGGCTGCGTTTTTTTGAATCCGAAACGAAGCAAGAGGAATCTCCGAGCTTGCGCAGACAATGGCATCGAAGCTTCGCTCGGAGACCGCGCGCTGGCCCAGGCCAGCGCTGATCCACGTCAGCCATGGCCACGTCGGGAGCCTGCGCCTGCATTAGGACAGAGCTCCCAAACCCAGGTCGGCGGAGAGAGGAGAGGGGGGAGGACGGCCAGGCAGATTTCCCAAACCCTGGCCAGCCTTAGGTCGGGCATGTCCCCCTACGGGCGGATTTAGACGAAAAATGAAAAATACACCCAAAATTCTCCAACAGAGTCAAAATAATATTAGAAAGATCGTCCCGTGACTATTGTTGGACTAGTTTGGAATCCTCCTCCTGTAGAGGGACAGGCCCGACTCAAGGCCAGCCAAGAGCGATCGGAGGAGACGGGCGGACCCCCCGTCGGCGGTCAGCCAGGACCCCGTCGCGTGGGCCCCGCGCGAAGAACACAAAGGGTGCCCCTCTGGAGCCGGGGCGGCTCTGAGCCCGCGCTCCCCGGGAGGCGGCGCGCACGGCTCGCAAGGCGCGCGGGCACGGCGCTGTGCTGCCCGGGTGCCGCGGCGGCGACCCCGAGGCCCGCGAAGCGGCGCGGAGGCGAGCGCGCGATCCTCCGACCCGACTGTCGCCAGCCCGGCTTCCGAAGGAGGGGCGGGGAGCAGAGGCACGACCAAAGGCGCGCCCTCCTCCGGGCCCAGGCCCGAGCTCGGGCCCAGGGCCGCGTGCGCAGCGCGGGCATGCCGCGGGAGCGTGTCGGGGGAGACCTGGCCGTATGAGTTTCGGCAAGGGGCCCTGGCCTGGGTGGCGCAACGCTACCAGCTCCGCCACCAGGCAGAACACAGAGGAGAAGGAGGAGGAGGAAGCGGAGGGGGAGGAGGACGACGAAGGGGGAAGAAATCAATGCGACACCATGAGATAAGAAAGGCGCTTTGTCGCTAGCCTCGCTCGACGATGGGGCCATCCAGAGGGAGCACCCGTGCAAACGCCTCAGCCTCGAGCATCAGAGGCCTGAGCCAAAATGGCTGCGGGGCGAAGCACCTTGTAGGAGACGTTGAATAGAGGGCTTCTCAATGGGGTCCCGGTAGATGGGGTGGGAGGATCGCGTCACATCGGCGATGCATCGGCGATGCATCGGCGACGTCGGCGACGCATCGGCGACGTCGGCGTGGAGAAAGTCGGGCTCCGCATCGGGCCGCATCGCCGATGCATCGGGGATGTGGCGTGATCCTCCGACACTTTCCCTATCTACTCCGATCCCCTCGAGGAGCCCTTTTTTCAACGTCTCCTCGAGGATCGGATCGAGACCCTCTCATCGGATCGAGGATCCCATCGAGGAGCCCTCTACTCCGATCTTATCCAGGAGGCCTAGACTGAGGTCGGGCATGTACTCCTCGTGCAGGCAGATTTTGGGCCACAAATCAGAAATAGCCAAAACATCTGCAAACAGAGTTTTTCTGAAAAACAAAAAACCTTCCCCATACGATTGTTTGGTTATGTGTTGAGTCTACCTCCTTTTGAGGGACACGCCCGACGTAAGTCTATAGATCGAAGGAAGGGGGAGAGCGGCCGCGGAGGGTGCCGCTCGAAGCGCGCGCGCTCCTGGGCGGCAAGGAAAAACGCGCCGTCGCGGCGCTGCCGTCCCAGTCGCCTCGGGCGGGCGGGGGGCTGCCGCTGTGGTCATCGTCGTCGTCGTCGTCACCGTCGTCGTCGTCGTCGTCGTCCCCGCCGCGGCCCTCGTCGGCGACGCCATCGTGGCCGCCGGGGTCAGCTTCGTCGTCTTCAGCGCGGTCGTCTCCGTCGCGGTCGCCGTCTTCGTCTTGGTCGCCGTCGTGGCCGTCGACACCTCTGTCGTCGCCGCCAGCGTCGGGGTGGTGCTCGTCGAGGTGGTGGTCGACATGGCACTGGTCGTCGTCGTGATCGTCGTGGTCGTGCCTTTTCCCAAACTAGCGCTTCACCCGAGGGGATCTCGAGAAAACACAAATTCGGCGAAAGCAAACCACAAATTAGGATGTGCGGCCAGGTTCTGTTCCCTGGTGCATGAGATGCTGCATTGCAACTTCTGGGTCTTGTCGAACAGCCTCCAAGTTCGAAACACCCACCCGTTCGAGGAGGCAGAGAAGAACGAGGAAAAGGCAGCAGGGACTCGGATGAGTCTTGAATATCCGGTCTTCCTTTCGTGGGTGTTCGCATGCTCCCCAGCGTTTTTGGAAAGAATTGGGAGATAAGAAGAGGGGAGGGAGAAGGAGAGGGGAGGAGAACAGATGAGGAACTGCAGGTGTAAGCGACGAGTACGAGGATGAAGATGAGTAAAGAAGGGCCCGAAAGAGGTGATGAGAGAGAGAGAGAGGAAATGAAAACGGAGGGGAGAGTGAACACATGATGAGGAGAAGAAGCTGGGGAAGGATAAAAGGATGAGGAGAGGAAGGCGAGAAAGGATGGAACGCTGAGGAGGACGAGGAGGAAATGACAAATGATTCGGGAGGATCAGGAGTGCAAGAGGGGGGATCGAGCGGGCATGGGAACAGACATCATAATAACCTTAGCGAGGTACGGAATAGAGGAGGAGAAGAAGGAGGAGGAGGATCCAAAGGATACGAGAGGAAGGAAGGGGAGGGGGCGGCGGAGGAGGAGGAGGAGGAGGAGGAGGAGGAGGAAACAGACGATGACGCACAGGGGACGACGCCAGCGACGGCAACGACGGACGACAACCCACTGTACGTCGGCGGCGACTGCGCACCGCCGCGCGCCAACCGCGCGCGCGCGAGCGCGCGACGAGTCGGCGGAGAGCGGCGGCGCCTAGCGCCCGCAAGCCGCCGGGCGGGGCGGGGCTGGCCGGCGCCTGCGCGCAGTGGGCGGGGGCCTCTCGCCGCTGCCGCTGCGCCGCCGCTCCGAGGCCTGGAGGGATCGAGGAGACTCCTCCTCCTGCTCCTCCTCCTCCTTCTCCTCCTCCTCCTCCTCCTCCTCCTCCTCCTCCTCTTTGAACATGCAGGCTTCCTCCTCCTCCTCTTCTTCTCCTCCTCCATTTCCTTCTCCTCCATTTCCTCCTCCTCCTTCTCCTCCTGAAACATGCAGGCCTTCTCTTCCTCCTCCTCCTCCTCCTCCTCCTCCTCCTCCTCCCTTTCCTCCTCCATTTCCTTCTCCTCAATTCCCTCCTCCTCCTCTTCCTCCTCCTTTCGGAAATCGACGATCGGAGGCCCAGGGATCGAGGATCGAGGCACATAGATCGAGGATCGAGGTCGTCGCCCAGGCCTGGATCAAAGGTCGAGGCCCGGAACACGGAGGCCGAGAGGTCGAGGAGCCAGGCCTGGAGATCGAGGGCCGAAGCCCAGGGATCGAGGATCGGGGCCGTCGCCGAGGCCTTAAATCGAGGAGCGAGGCCTGGAGATCGAGGGTCGAAGCCCGGAACACGGAGGCCCAGAACACGGAGGCCCAGAGGTCGAGGAGCGAGGCCTGCAGATCGAGGGCCGAGGCCCAGATCGAAGATCGGGGCCGTGGCCGAGGCTTTAGATCGTTGACCGAGGCCTGGAACATGGAGTACCAATGCTTTTCGCACGTCTCCACCCCATTCGCGCTTCCAGGCAGGCGTCGTCGTCGCCAGCCCAAGGGGGTGCTCGTTGTGTCCGGGCCGTTGCCGCCACTGTTGCGCCTGCGTCTGTTGGGGCACAGGGTCGTCGCGAATGCAAGCGTTGTCCCAAAAGTACCCCTGCCCGCCGGTCCTGAAATCATGATCGGTTGACCAGCGCGCGCTCGCCGAACGGATGGGAGGAGGGACAAAGATGGATGGGGAGGGGGGGGACACGGCGCATATAGATACCAATTGATGCCCTTCCTGCCTCTGGGCGTCCCTGCTGCCATCGGGGCAGAGACTCCCTCTACTTCCGCAGCCTGCCCGGCTTCTTTGCCTCTGTTCTCCGGTTCCGCACGGGCTGGCACGGATACTTGTCCATCGCGACCGCGAGCGGGCACCCGCGCGGCGTCGCGAGGTCAAGCGAGATGCGAAGCCGTGCAAGTGCAAGGCAGCGGAACAAATACAGAGCCACTGCGCAGAGGCTGCGCAAGAGTGGCGAAAACGGGGCGAAGCGGGAGAGAGCAAAACGAGCGAAGAAGAAAGACGGAAAGAAGAAAGCGAAAAAAACTGAAATACGACGAAAGGAGGGGGAAAGAGAAACGCACGCGGCGCTGCTCAGAGGCGAAGGACCGGGCTGGTGACCGCCAGGGACGCGTTGCCTTCCAAGTACGTATGCAGCGGGCGGGCGACCGTGTCCTCTAGACCACCGCCAGCCGCCAGACGCCGAGAGCCATGAACCTGTCAGACCCAAGTGCCGAGCCCGCGAACGTGCGCCAGCAGGCAGGAGACCGAGGTGAAGGCCCGCGTCAGGGGAGACCGTGCCCGGGAAGCCCATGGAGGCGCGAGCCGCGACCCGCGGAGCTGTCCAACCGGCCGTCCTCCAGGGCCGTCGCAAGACCGCGGGCGACCAGGCTGGCACGGATACTTTTTTGCTCGCGAGCGACGCGGTCAGCCGCGCGCCGTCAGATAAAGTCGAAAGAGAAGCACAAGCCCTGCTGTCGCAAGTGTGACGCGGAAAAGGGCCACAAGGGTGGCGAAAGCTGCAAAGCGGAGACAGAGGCAGACGAAAGCGAAGAGGCGGCCGAGGACGAGAACCGAAGAGCGGAAGAGCAAAGAGAAGAGAATCTTAGAAGAAAAGAAAGAGCGAAAAGAACGAGAACAACGAAAGAGCGAAGAGGAACGGAAGACAAGACAGAGCGACATAATGCAAGCCGCAGATCAAACTCAGACCAAGTAGTAGACGACCGACCCTTGTCGAACAGCGAGCGCTTGTAATAAAATTCGACGTGCCCAAACCAATGCACTCATATGGACTGTCGCGAGAGGCGAAAGACCACGGAGTGCCCACCGGCGACAAGAGGAGGTTAGCGGCTGGCACGGATACTTTTTAGTCAGCGGCCGCAGGCGAGAGCGCCAGTGGCGAGTCCAGTCAGAGCGGGCCGCGCAAAGACGAATTAACCTAAAGCGGTGGGCCGAAGCCTCACGCAACACCTCGGCGGGCAGGCCGGCGAGTGGAGGGGGACTGACGGCAACTGCTGGGACGCTGCACCGCCAGGGTGCACGCATGCAAAGCGCTGCAAAGATGGGCTGGCTGCCAGGGCTGTCGGCTGCCAGGGTCTGCAAGCTGCGAGTGAATTTAGTTCAGGGGCGTAGGCACCCACGGAACCGCAAGAGTACCAGGGTGGCTGGAGCCAGATGAACCAACTGACACGAGCCGAATTGTGTGCCCTAAGTAGGGCGTAAGCATCAACGAGCTGCAGAATACCAGGGTGGCCGAAGCCAGGTGGACCGACAGCCTCGAACCGCATTGAGTGCGAGTGCGCTGAGCAGCAGAAGCTGCAGCGCGTGTGGGCAACCCAGAGAGACCCAAGAAACGTGCCAAGGCCTGGCGGGTGCGAGTGGTGGCGCCAGCAAAGTCGCGCACCGGGAGCCCCGAACGGGGGGGGGGGGCGCGATCCGCAGTCGGCACACCAAGGATGGCGACAGACGCAAACGGACGGCGCGAGGGTGAACACTGGCACTGCAGCCGAAGTGGCGGCCGCGGAGCGGTGGAGCCACGAAGATGCCTAGGCTGAACCGCAAGCGCCCGTAGCCCCCACCCAAGGGGGGAGGCGAACCGCGATTTGCGCGGTCAAGGGACGCCAGGACCGGTGGGGGATAGCACCACCGAACTGGCGAGGGAACCGGGAACCCATCCGCGGGGGGGCCACCCCGGTACGGGAGGGCGCCCGGGGGCGCGGGGGAGTGACGTGCCAAGAGTGAAAACAACTACGTCGGGCCGAAGGCCGTCGGGGGACAAGTGGACCACGGCCCCAGCGGCAGTCCACGAGCCAGTATTGTCAGCAGGCCGCTGCCCGTGTCCCAAGGGCGGGGAACAGCGGAGGCTGGGGAGTGGCACCAGGGAAGTAGCACTGCCTGCAAGTCCGGCAACGACCACCGCGAGATGCGCGGCCATTGCGTCTAGCGTGAAACAAACGGGGGCCATCGGCGCGGGCCCTCGCCCCAGGCCACCGTCAACCCGTGATGCCTGTGGACCATACCAGGGGTGGCTAACGGCCACCGCTTGCCAACTGATGACATAAAGCGAGAAACCATTGGCCTAACGGGCCCTGCTTCAGTTGGGAAGAGCGATAATATCGAACCACGTTCCTTTGTGGCCTAACGGGCCCTGCGTCATCTGGAGAAACCGAGGCGCCACCGCGGCGAACTCTGCTGGCCTGACGTGTCCTGCACCACTTGGGGAGGTCTGCTGTCCCCCAGGGGTGCCTGGTGGGCTTCGGGGCCCACGCGTCGGGGGCACGTGTGCCTGGGCAGCCTGCGGGGGAAAGGGGGGGCACGCCCTGCAACCTGTCGTCTCTGTGAGCTGCCTTGGTGCTGGCACGGATATTTTTTTTCGGTCGCGGCCGCGAGCGAAGAGCGCAGGCGGCGAGAGAAGTTGTCCGGGCCGACGGGCAAACCTAATTAGCTGCTGGGCGCGACTCAAACCGGCCGGGCCAGCTCACAAGGCGACCGCTGGGGCAGCAGGGCGGGGGCTGGCTGGCTGATCGGGCACCCAGGGAAGCTCGAGCATCGTGCAGCCCAGGCAAAATGCCAGGGAATTCGGTGTTATGAGCTGCGGCGTCAGACCACGCAGGTGGAACGAGTTGCTCCCAGACACTGCAATGGGAAAGCCAAGGTGCACAATGAAAAACTGGCACGGATACGCGTGGCAACAAGAAATCTTTGATCCTACTATTTGCTTCGTCGTGGCCGATCCGGCTCAAGTGCAAGCTCTTTATTGGTCTCACTGGGCAGCGTCCCAGAGAAATTCTGCGAACATGACATTCGGCACACTCGAGACGTGACGGGACTGCATGGGAACAGGAGGGAACAGACGAGGGGAGCCGAAGACGTGTACGGTCGGGAACTTTTGCTTAGCGTGTCGCGGCGACCCCGACGACACGCTATGCCTTGCGAGCGGATAGCGTTTCGCTCCGCTGCGCGGGGCGGGAAACTGGGACAAGCCGGGGAAGGTGACGCTTGAGGACTGGGACGTGGTGAGCGCGTCGCGCCGAAGCGCGGAAGGCCAGCCATGGCGGTGCGACACGCTGAGCCCAAGTCCCTGACCGTGGCCCGAGCAACCGCCCGGAACCGTGGAAGCACGGAGAGGCAGCAGGACATCCGCAGACGGCGCTGTCGCCGCCGCCGCTGCCGCCGTCCTCGCGGGGGCCCCCGCGCGCCGAGCGCGCACGCGGGCGCGCCGCGCGGTAGTAGGCGACCAACGGCTGGCTGACCATCGGCACCGGCCGCAGGAGCACCCGCACCTCTCGCGCGCGCGGGCGCGAGGGGGCGCGCGCGGGTCGGGCTGGCCGTCGGCGAGCCGAGGCCCCTCCTGCCCCGCCTGCCTGTGCGGGTCCTGTCTCCGCCGCGGCCTCCACCTCCAGGGAGGGGGCGGGCTGTGCCGGAGCGCGGCGGCCAGCCGAGGTGAGACGCACTCAAAAGGGGGGAGGAGGTGTAGGAGGAGGTGTAGTCAGGAGGAGTGGGGTCGGAGATGGGAGATGGAGGAGAAGGCGGACGAGGAGCAGGAGGACGACGACCGAGAGCAGGGGGCGGAGGAGGGGGACGAGGAGGGGGAGGGGAAGGGAGCAGAAGGAGGAGAACCACGACGGATCCTAAGAGTTGGCCGAAGACGACCATCGTCAGCCGACCCAAGTCAACCCTGGTCTGAGAAAGTTGAGCCAAGGGATATGGAACTCTTGCTTCTCCCGCTCCTCGTCATTGCAACTCTTCCCCTCATCGACCTCAGACGACGCCTACTACTACTACGACTACGACTACGACTACTACTACTACTACTACTACTACTACTACTACTACTACGACTACTACTACTACTACGACTACGACTACTACTACTACTACTGCTACTACTACTACTACTACTACTACTACTACTACTACTACGACTACGAGACTACGACTAGTAGTAGTACTAGTACTAGTACTAGTACTACTAGTACTACTACTACTACTACTACTACTACTACTACTACTACTACTACTACTACTCCTCCGACTACTAATCCTACTAATACTGCTACTGCTACTGCTACTGCTACTGCTACTGCTACTGCTACTACTACTACTACTACTGCTACTACTACTACTACTACTCATTCTACTACTGCTACTACTACTACTACTACTACTACTATACTACTACTACTACTACTCTACTACTACTACTACTACTACTA